GAGGGAGAGAGGGAGGGAGAGGAAGAAGGAAAGGAAGAGGGAGAAACATGGAAAGAGAGAGGGGCAGGAGAGAGAGAGAGACATGTGGTGGGGGCAGGCAATGTTCGCAAATTAATAGGAAAAGGTCTGGGAGAAATTAAGTCAAACAATGAGTAAGGAGGAGGAGAGGCAAGGAGGAAATCAATGATGACCAAAGGAGGTTTTAGCCTTCCTTGCAGCATTCTAATCCTTTGAAAGAAAAATGTATTCATGTGTCATATGTGTAATTAAGTCAATAAGTTTTAAAGCTGCATAACAATATGAAAGTCCATTATGTGAAAATTATTTACATGTATAAGTATGTATTTATTCATATAAATGTATAGAAAGGGGACCAAACTGTTGACAGTTTTTTTTCTTTTGTTTGTTGTGTTTTGTTTTTTTGGGTAGGATGGCAGATAGGAAAGGAGCAGGAAAGGCAAGTTTCAAGATTTACTCTCTCTATACCTGCATATTGTTTCGATCTCTTACTATGAAAATATACTTACATATTATTGAGTAATTAAGAAATAAAGACATGGAAAAACTCAAAGACTCGTTAAGTGGGAAAAGCTAGTTGCTATATTATATAATTACATCGTACACATATATAATAATGTATACATCTATAAATTATATATGTGTCTGTACAAATACATTCTAATGTACACATAAAACACAAACTGGACTTCCACAATTTATATGCTTCTGTGTTATTTGATTATTTTTTATAATGAGCATATATGTACTCATTATTTAGTGTGGTAATCATTTTGCAATATATACATATATCAAATAATTATGCTATATGCCTTAAACTTACACAATGTTAATATCAATTATATCTCAATAAAACTGGGGGGATAAATAAACATACAAATACATAGAAATGTGATCACGTCATCCACTTAATCAAAACCCTTTAACAGTAGTATTCCTATTGCTCCTAGGATAAAGCCCAAAATAATTAAGGGGGAGGCCTGCCATCCAACCTCAGTTCACAATATTTCCACTTGCTTACTATGCTCTAGCCATAGGAGACACCTCTGTTCTTCAAGTCCTTTATATGTGTTCTAGCTTCAAGTCTCTGCACATGCAGTTCCTTTCCTCTACCAGGAACACTTCCTCCACCCACTCCTCATTCACCTCCATCTACCCCAATTGATCCTTCAGTTCTTATCACTTATTCAGAGAAGCCTTCCCTGACATTCAAGACAGGGTCAGGTCCCCCTGTTATAAGCACTTACAGAACCCTTACTTTTCCTTCATAACTCTTATCATAGTTTGCAGCTTTTTATTTATAGGTGGGATTATTTATATCTGTTGTCATTCCTACTAGACTGTAAGACCCATGAGAGCAGGACTCTTGCCGTTCTTGTTATACCCTGAAATCTAATAAGAGCTCAGTAAATAATTTTGAAAGAAATGACTATTCCCTGTTAATCAGGGTAGACACTGGCTTTGGCACTAGATCCATTTCCCACTCCATTCCAACCCCTGCCATCATATAAGCCAGGGGTCCCCAACCCTTGGGCTGCAGACCAGTACTGGTCCGCAGCCTGTTAGGAACCAGGCCGCACAGCAGGTGATGAATGGTGGGCAAGCGAGCAAAACTTCATCTATATTTGCAGCTGATCCCCAGCACTAGCATCACTGCCTCAGCTCCACCTCAGACCATCAGGCATTCGATGCTGTGAGAAGCAACAGTCTCTGGTGCCAAAAAGTTTGGAGACAGCTGATATAAGCAACCTCAATGACCACAGATGACACTCTAACCTTACTGTCCCTTGATCTCCTCCACTTCTACATCCTCTGACCACATGCCACTTCACATGCCATTTCTAACCATTAGTGTCCTAGACCACCCCATAAACATGGAGCAGCTCCACTTCAGAATTCCTGAACTCCACTATCCCAATCTGAGACTACAACCTCCTATCCCTATTACTTCTTGGTTCTCAGAATACCTACTCCTCATTGTCATTAAGATCTGCCAGCCTTTGGCTCCTCATTGCTTTACTCCCTATCCAATATAGATGTCATGGTACATCACTTCAACTAATCTCTTTGTAGCAGCCTCACAACTCTTACCATTTTTAATTTACCATTTACTGAGCAGTTACTATGGCCCACTCTGCATACATGTATTTCTGTAAAGATCACCATTATCCCCCTTTATAGATAACGAAAAGGATTCTTTAAAGAGAAATAACTTGTCCAAAGTTACACAACTAGAAAGTGGTGGAGCAGGATGGAGTTGGGGTCTGAACGAGATCTGTCTGACACCAAGGTCTGCGCTCTGAACCAGTAAGTAATTCTGTGGCTCAGAGGGAGAGATGACTGACTGCAACATGGAGAGGGAAGCAGACCAGTATGAAGGCTTGGAGACCAAGGCAGTAGCAATCCAGGTGAGAGCTGATGGTGGACTAATCATTATCTACCCAAATACTGCAGAGAATTCAAACTAATGTCCCACTTACCTCACGTGTGTGACTTTATAGGATGGACTTGGTGGGCTTTGTCTGAAGACAGCAAACCCAGGTGTGCCTAGAAGAGATCAAAAAGAAATCAGCAGTTTAATACATTCTACATCTATAAAAATAAAATTACTTTAACTTATGAGATAGATGTTAGTCTGAGATAGATAGATGATAGATAGATGATAAAAAGATAGATAGATAGATAGATAGATAGATAGATAGATAGATAGATAGATGATAGATTTGTTGCCATTTATTAAATGTTTCTGTGTACTGGGAATTTATCATAGTCTTATTCACATTTCCAATTTCGGGCTCACGAAGGGACCCTGTTGCAATGCCCAGCACCCAGCTTTATGTGGAAGGCCATGAAGCCCTACACTGAGGAGTGAACCTGTTTTACACCCTCACTCCGAGGGCATCGTGTCCTTGAGGAGCAGCAAATCTAGCCTAGAAGCCACACCAAGCCCAGAACAGACCCACAGAAAGGCAACAGCTCAGTCACCTGTTCCTTTTTTCCTCTCACAGAATCGAAAGACACAATGGAAGTACCAAAGTAGCTTATTTGGGTTTTCTCCCCGTTTTAAGCCTTAATCTGGGGTCAACGGATGGCCAGCCCTGGGTCCCGGACTCCTCTAAACTTACATGCAAACCGTCTGCGCTTTTTTTTTTTCTTTTTGTTATGGTAAATAGTTTGCCTCCGATTTTCAAACGTGTCACGTCCGCCTTCCCCACTACCTCAAAAATTAAAAGTTAATCACGAATTCCAGATCCACCAGCCAGAGCTTCGCTGACATCTTTACCTCCAACCTGCAGGCATGCAATAGCAGTCCCCACCCCCGTCGTCTCTCATCATTCCTTTCCGTTCTCCCCTCCCCCCATGCACGCCTACACGCACGCACCCTACCAGCACCGCCACAAATCGCCACACACGCATCTCCCTCCGCGCCTGTCTGC